GTAGAAATCCAAGTCATTAATTACTCCTTTCATTTGTCCATTCTCTAACTTAGCGAAGAAAAAATCAGCTAGGATTGAACCTAATATATTTATTTCTTACGTCCAGAGTGTGGGCTTCAAACTTGAGCTGTGGAGATACTTGTGGCATGGGTGTTATTTTATGTTTTACAGGTTTGAATTGCTAGCCTGACATGCAAAGTTCACATCTTTTCAAGGCTCATTTCTTGCTAGTAAGCAAAATAAGAGTGATGTTTAGGATTGTGTCCATTGAGAACATATATATACGAAAGGTTGGCAAACATTTCACCATGAAGCTATGGAAGCCAAAATTGATGCTAGTAGAGGGGTATCAGTTACTGAATTCAGTAAATCTAATTTATAAGCCTTTGTTGAAGCAAGAGATTGATGTAGCTAGCGCAACTAAGGGGTTTACAGCTGAACAGTCTCTAGAAAGAAAAACAGAACCGGGAGCTCACGATTATACTTCCTGACAAACATAAACAAGAGATATAAGAATTAAAATTGAAGTAACATAGAAGGCGGAGAAATTGTAGGAATGGATCTGCGCAAAGAAGTCAGTAAATTAGGTATAAAACAAAATCAAGGATGGAGACTTGATTTAATTTTTTAAAGTATTAATAATAATGTTTATATAATGTATAGAATTTTACTGCATAATAATTTTCTATTCGTCCAGCGTCGGCGGTATAGCGCGGTTAAGACGCTCGCCGGGCATGAACATGGTCCGAGGTTCCGTCTCCGGCCGATGCACACCCGATATCAATGGTCGGTCTGCTAAATTTGGGCTACCGATATCACATGCTGAAAATGCCATAATTGTATCAAAAATACTGTGTGGAGTCAAGCTGTAATAAATAAAATAAAAAAATAAGAGATTAATTTAGAACAACACATTTAAGCGAACAATATTGTTTTCAAAGGAATGGATACTGAACAAAGAGTACTCTTTTCGATAACGCCTTCTTCATCGGGCTCTACAGTTATATATACACATTGTGAATGAATGAATTAGTGCTATGAACAACATTCATGTTGTTTAAATAACTTTGAATCAATAATATTGATAGATTACAGCTCAATAGCATCAACATAACAATAAGCTGAATGTCGGAAGAATTAGGAAAGATGATATTACAAATTCATGAATATATAGTCTCTACTGAAGGCCAGTCAGGGCAGTAGTAGGGGTGGCTGGACTTGCTCCTTTTTAACACAGAGCACTGGTTGTTTCAGGCGAATTGCAATAGCCTCTGCTGTTTGGAGCATGCGGTGCTTCAATGTTTGTGGCAATTAATTAGGTACCTGGTAGATGATGATAGAGAAAGATTCTTCCACGCTGGCTGGCTTTGTCGCCGGTTTGAACCAGATGGTCCAATATTGAACTGGCAATGGTTTTCACAACACCCTTACTTAGCCATAGTGGGAGATGTTCTCGAGCGAGCACGATTAATCAAGTTCCTAGAGCAACGGCCAATATAACTCGCTCCACAATTGGCGCAGTTAAATTGGTAGATACAATTTGAAGTGGCTAGCTAGTCTATGTACTTCATCTTTCAGTCGAGGTAGCAGCATTGTTCATGTAGAGAATAATACCTGTAGTTCGCTGGCATTAAAAGTTCTTTGAACTGATTTTCTTAATCTCCTCGTAATTATCTCACTTGCTATATTGCCCTTGAACTGCAGTCGCATATATAAGGGCTTCTTGTTTACGGATAGTTAATAGTCCTTTTCCGCTTTCTTTGTCATGTGTTTCTTAATAAATTTGTCGCGATAACTATTTTTAATCAAAGTATCATATACAATGCTTAATTCATCTTCAATTACTTCTTCTGAGCATATAGTTGTAACTCTGTGGCTGAGGGTCCTTCCTTACTAAATATCTTTTGTACTTGATAGGAATGAAGCTATGAAAATGTGTATATTGTCTTGTCCAAGTGCTTTTTCTATACAAATTTCTTTTTATGCCACCATCTCATTTTCTTGTAAGTAGGACATCAAGGAAGGCAATTCTGTCTTGAGATTCCTCTGCGCATATGAATTTCATAGCCGAATGTACTTCATTGAATTCAGTAATTATTATACTCCCATCAGAACCTCTATCAAAAAGGATGAAGGTATCGTCCATGTATAGGCAATAAAATGCGAGCCTGCTGATAAGGTTGTTTTCAATTAGATCTTATCAGGCTTAACTCTAATATATATAAGTTTACAAATAAAAAAATCAAATATAAACCAATCATGGTCTATAGGATAATACGATGGTGAATATGAATTGTGCAATTAGTCATAATAGTAGGAACGAAGCTGTGAAAATGTGTATATTGTCCTGTTTAAGTGCTTTTTGTATACAAATTTCTTTTTATGTTACCATCTAGTTTTCTTGTAAGTAGGACATCCAGGAAGGGGATTCTGTCTTGGGATTCCTCTTCGCATGTTAATTTCATAGACAATGTACGTCACTGAATTCAGTAATTCTTGTCCTCCTATCCGAATCATTATATCAAAGAATGTATACCGGCAATAAAATGAGAGCTTACTGATAAGGTTGTTCAGAGGTCCAATTTCTAGGTTACTTAGAAAGAAATCAGCCAGAATGGAACCTAATGGGGAGCCTATAGCCACCCCGTCCACTTACCTGTTTTAATATTTTTGTTCTATTCCATTTATTGGTGGCCTGATCAAACCACTACTGGGCTGCCTAAATTGCCTATCTGTTTATCATACAGTGTAACATTTTTATTCCATTCCATGTCTTGTAATTACCACAATGAATCGCAATCCCCATACTCACGCACATGTTTCTACCTGCCAATAACAATCATTCCAATGAAATGGAGAGAGAAAACATTTTGGAGTAACACTGAAGCATACTTCAAACGGAATCATATTACTTCAAATGATATATTGTTGATTATTATATCATTTGAAGATCCTGAACAAGGTGTGAATACCTTGCACTGAAAGTCACTGAAAATTCTGTATTATCTATAAACGCATTTTTCCGGATTAAAGCTGTTATTATTTTGATATTTACTGATGTGACCGAGTTTCAAGCACAATTTATTAATGCTCATAATCATATCAAGATATTCATACAACTTTCTAACTTATTTTATATAATTCCATTATTTTTCATCGCCTGATTTCATTGATGGTAGTATTTTCCATATTTTCGGTATGAGTGATGAGTCATTGCCTCCTACTGCACGTGTTGGATGTAGACTAGATGAACCAGGATTCAGTAATCAACTTCTCTCTCTCTCTCCACCTACCTGTACTGAGTTTACAAATTTTAACCCTCTCCCATCCTATAGTGAGATTATGTGTTAATGTATGCAGTGCAACAGCTGAGATTTTTTCTAAATTACTTATCTTTGTGAGGTCAATCATTCTAACCGTAAGTAAATTCTTATGTTCTGATAATCTCACTACTCCTGATCCACTACTATGTAGTTGACTTAACCCATGGTCATTGCGAGGTATTTTGTAAATTATAATATTTTGTCTAAATGAGTCAACCTACAGGGACTTTAATCTACACAGCTTGTCCAGGATAATGCTACAACCTGTCTACCTTACTATATTCTCTATCCGATCACCGTGTTTAGCTGCACTTTGTAATTTTATTAATTCAGCATATCAGCTCGCTAGTAAAGGGAATAAAATTCACATTTGAATCGGAAAGTGTACAAGGAGAATTAGCTGTGATGTTAGATAGTAAAATAAAACGAATAGAAGAAGGTAAACTATACACTAGTGTTTATAAAAAACCAACTCATTCTAATAGATATTTAGACTTTAGTTCATCTTATCCGTTAACTGTCTGTGAAGACAGGCTTAGTTAAGCGTCTAACAAACCGAGTAGTAGCACTAAGTAGTACAAAAAAGACCTAAATGATGAAATAAAACAGATAGAAGAAGAGGCGTTGATGTTAAATAACTATCCCGGAATATACACATTGGGTCATAGGAGTTAATTAAGAAGACAATTGCAGCGAAGAAAATTTTCTTTTCGACGAAGTCATCATCTAGGCTGTACATTCGTGTATTTATACCAAATGGATAGGAAAGTTCCAGAATAATATCCGGTCAAGGGTCAAATTAATTAAAATAAAAATATTTTCATACCCGAACTTCGTGTTTATTTTGTCATTTTACTATTTCTACACATTTAATCCCTGATCGCATAAACAATTATTCATCACATTAGGTTTTTTATCCAAACATCCTGTCTATTTTGTTATTTCTACATTTCTAACCCCTAATTGCACAATGTCAATCTTCTTAGTTATTATGATGCTAATTTGTTTGTTGTATCCATCCCCCCGTTTATTATGGCATTCTAATCCCTAATTTTAATTTCAATTAATTTGACCCTTGACCGGATATTATTCTGGAACTTTCCTATCCATTTGATATAAATACACGAATGTACAGCCTAGTTGATGACTTCGTCGAAAAGAAAATTTTCTTCGCCGCAATTGTCTTCTTAAATAACTATCCTTTAAAATTCATTAGAAAGATCAGAAAAGGTCAGAAGCAAAATAAAAATAATTGTGAAGCTAATAATGATAGCATAAATAAGAGAGAATATAAAGCATCTACATTTCTACTATATAAGGAGGGGACACCTGACACCCTATGTTGGATTCTTAATAGAGCAGGGATTGAAATGGTATTTAAACCCACAAACCACTCAGGTAGGACAAGCTGTGTAGGTTGAAGGATCTGTTGACCTAATTAAACAAAATAATATAATTTACAAAATACCTTGCAATGACCGTGAGCTAAGGCAACTACATAGGTCAGAGCAGGTGATCGAGGGTAGTCAAATTATCGGGACATATGAATGATAAACCCTACAAGGAGGAGTCATTTGGCAAAAAAGCCAACAATTATCATTCATTAGGTATTATGTACAAAAGTATTTTTTTTTCCAGAACAAATCTATCATTATTATTATTATCACGTTTGTTTAGGGCACATCTTAATCGTGTTTGGTTAACTGGACACGCTGGAAGTGTACGCACCCTATGGTTAGATACTCAACTCCAGTTGTTACTCTCCGGGAGTTATGATACAAGTATACGTTTATGGAATTTATCAGAGACAAGTTATCAACAACAACAACAAGGTGGGCATTCTAATATGCCTATGCAGAATCCAGTAAGTTTTAGAAATAGTCGATCAAAGTGTATACGGATATTTCGTGGTCATACAGACACTGTATTGTGTATATGGTTAGATCAAAGCAAATTATGGCCTAAAACAAATTTATTTATAACAAAGTCAAAACGACCGCATACCTGCTACAATTCAATCAAGTATAATGATGAAAGCAAAAATGGCAATAAATGCTTGAAAAAGAATGAAATTCAAGGTACATATCAATTTGCAAGTGGTTCAGTGGATTGTACATGCTGTGGTAAGTTGTTGTTGCTCATTGATTTTAGTCTTGTTTACTCACTATCTGTTTGGGGTTGGAGAAGTTTAACTGGTTAACCTTGTATATCATGTTTTATTCCACGTCTAAAAGTTCCACTTCATGAAAAAAAGACGCTTAGGAAGAAAAGAAAGGAAGGGGAAAGGTCTACGGCAAAGAGTTATTCTAGATAGTTGGAGGCCATCGGCAACAGAAAGCCTTGGACCTAGGTTTTGCGCTAGTTGGCACTCGTCAACTATCTAATACCATCAAATCAATGTGCACTCTGATGGCGAGCTACCTATAATGGTGGCTACATTGCAAACTTGACTGACTGATAGAATTCAGTCTGCACCAAAGAAAGGACTAGACATATCACACTAGTTACTAGTGTCCAATGTAAAGAGTTATTCTCCATTTACAGCAACACCAATCTCAATCTCAAAAGAAATGATCCCAGATATGTTTCATTAGAATAACAGTTACGTAATATACATGGCATTTTTATAACAACACACAACAATTTACCACTCAAGTAGCGATATGTTTGCCAACAGTAATTAGTCAGTATTAACATGTCAGTGGGGTGATAATTAACGAAGAAAATTAACACACACACGATTAAAAGGTAGAAATGGTTACAACACATGGATTGCGTAATGCATAATTTTGGTAAAATGAAGAGTAATTAAGGAATAAGCTTGTGCTCAAGTTAATTACGCATCAGATTGTTAAATTAAATAAACTGATTTTGACGATGATAAAATGTAATTAAAGATGAAGTGGTTAGGAAAATAAGAAAATAATTTCGATAGTTATAAGTTTGAAGGTTTAAGGGGAGGGGGTCGAAGTTGTCCTGTTTATGCATTCATGTAACGATGGCCAAGATAAGGAAAGTGGCTGTACAGATTTCTTCTGAGCACACAGGTTTGGATTCTTCACGTGGATTCCTATGGCTTCAGCTGTATGTAGAAGACGACTCGTAAAGCAAAATTAAGATGAGAAGGAATGTGATAAATAATTTTAAATGTGCTGTATTAAGATCAACTTTATGCTCCTTATCTACAAGTTGTGCTGAAATAGAGCTACGAATAGATCTTGTTTGTCCCTTGATTAACCATGTTGGATGATGTTTGGAAATACGATGATGACCTTGTCTAATTGTGCACCCAATGTAGCTGGCTCTGCACCTACAGTTAAACCGGTAGATACACGTACAAGAGGAGGCGAATTTAGGTAGTTTATCCTTATTACTCGATCGTAGAATAGGGATTGTAGCGAAGAGACAACGTAGCTCTGCTGCATAACAAGCTCTTTTAACTGCATTCTTCAGGTGTTGTGTTGCTCTATTCCACTGATGTTATCAGCGAGGAACTGCAGTTTTATGAACAGTGGTTTTTTTGTAAACTGTTGCTATACTGACTCTCCTAGTTGCTGAATTCATATTTTTCTCAATAAACCTATTTGGATAACCATTTTCCTAAGTAATTCTCTAATAATCTTAAGCTCTTCATTGAGGCAGTCGTCTGGCTCCATTAACCAGACAATTTATTAGGTTAAGTTTATATTTGAAAGGTGCAAAACTCAAAATACGAGTGTACTGACTTGTTGTTGTAGGTTTCTTATACATACTTCTTCTTAGTGTACTATCTTCTTTCCTGGCGAGTAAGACGTTTAGGATGAGATACTGTCATTACTTTCTTACTCCATTGTGGTAAAGTTTATGGCTGAATGGGCATCATTAAAATTGTCGAGAGTGTTCATTGCATCATTCTCGTTTTTCATAACCAGAAATGTATCATCTATCCATTTTCATTGTAATTTCTAAATGTCTTAAGGTGAATTTGTCTATATGGAAATCTTCAAATTTGCGTAATACACACTGTGTTAATTAAGTTTAAAATGTAGCATAATTAGGTAGGTAAAATGAGTAACTTTAGACAACTGAATGGAACTCAAATACAAATGAACGAGACTGAAGTTAAGAAATGTGATAGGGAGAGGAAAGCTGCACAAATGAAGACAAAAACATTACCTGTTTGGTGTTATAACCGGTCAGGTCTATTATTGTTTTAGTAACTGATCAAACGTCTATATGTAGATTTCAGGATTTAATATGTGAATTACCGTCTCTCATGAGATTTGATGAAGTTTGATCCGTACTCCTCTAGAAAGATTCCCATGTATCCAAATTTGATCAGGTACTCGAAGATAGAGTTGCAGGGATGGTAGGGATGATTACTTTCCGTCATATAAAACCATGAGGATAAGTGTCTGACCATACATAAGACTAGAAAACACTGAGTACCGCTGACATACGTAGTTATATAGGAGCAGGTGGAATGATAGATGCACACTGATGAGGCGGCCAACACTGGCAGCTTATCCTTCACGTTCATGTGAATCGGTGGTTTTGTGGAAAAAGTGAAAATATACGCGATTCAGTGAGGAGATATTTTTCAGAGATTTCGCTTACTACAGTTGTATAATCGCAGAAATTAATTGTTTCTAACTTGAGTATTCATTGTACAGATTATGATGACATGAAGACTGTGTTTTGGGAGGAGATAGCAAAAAGCATATCTGAAAATGACAGTTACACTTATCCTGAGGAAGCCTCGTATTATATTCGGTCAAGTGTAGATAGTTAAAATGTGTTGTTCTAAAAAATTTAAAGACATGACCATATACTACTGATCAACTAATGTAAGTAGTTTCATGTGCAAATTACAAATTTGATTGTCATTTTGTTTTAGCTTTTTCTTTCTTTATTTTAGTATGGCGATTAGATGAACGTAAACCGATATGGACAATGAAACATGCTAGTGCAGTTACGGCCGTTGGTTTAAGAGGATTTATATGCACAACTGGTGAACGTAATGGACGTGTCAATGTCTGGAGAATAGGCATTAATAAACCAACTTTATTGAAGGTATTATATAAGCTTAAAGGGAATTTTCATATTGGCATAAACATTTCAAACTATAAATCTCTTATGGCAGCCAGATGTTTCACTATCTAATTTTCCCGCATAGTGCCTTGTGTATCATTGTGAAAATACTCGGTTGGGTATGGGTAATGACGTGAACTCTTCTGCATTAACCTTGTCATTCATGCTGATTGGTTATCTTTATATACAAAAGGTGGAGTTACAAGCTGTGATTACCTTTCAGTAGTTTCTGCCACAGTAGGGTTCGGCTTGATAGTTCCGGACTACATCTCACAGCATATCGTGGGCTAACTCAAATATCTGGCTTTCTATTCAAACTAGCCGGCACATGGGTGGATCACTAATGTTGTGTGGGGTCTGATGAGGGTTCTGGGTCAACCCTGATTATTATGATCTTGGGGAAACTGTCGGTACCAGCAATGCTTACTGTAGGGCCGTTGATAATATGGTATGTATTACGTAGCTTTCTCCAAGGGAATATGAGTACGCCGACCATGTTAGATGTAGTGTGTATATTAATTAGTTGGTGTCTCATCTCCTGAAATACCTTAGAGTACCTTCAGCGCTTAGGGACACGAGTTCGGTGTATGGTTCATGATTAATGGTAATCACCCCTGAAGTAACCTCTTTCAAATCCCTCCCGTTGATGGTGATTGACGCTGGATGTTTCTGCTGTTGTTGTTGGCTGGTTATTTTCATCACCCCCATCTTGTCTATGTTCACCTGGAGTCCTGTCTTCGCCGGCTGCTTCTTAGATCAGTTTGTCGGTTTTCGCTTGTAAGTCTTCTTTTTTGTGTGACGTCAAACATAAACCATCCACGTGCGAAATCTAGGTCTTCTAGGTTCTTCACGTCGGTCCAAGATATCCCTGTCTTCTCGTTTCCAACTGTCTGACGTATAATCCAGTCCACCACAATTAGGAATATCGTTGGTGATAGTGAGCACCCTTGTCTGACTCCTGTGTTTACTCCAAACGCCTTGCTGAGTTTTCCGTTGTGGATCACTCGACATGTGTCGTTGTCGTACAGCTGTTGAATAAGGTTAGTGAATATTTGGGGTACGCCGTAGTACTCGAGTAGTTTCCAAATCACTTCGCGGTCAACGCTGTCGAAGGCCTTCTTGAAGTCTATAAAGTTGAGGTTGATGTTTGATTGCCATTCCATGCTTTGTTCTGTGATGATGATGCGTAGAGTTGCAATTTGGTCAGAACATGATTTGCCTGACTTTCCTGGATCCAGCTTGTTCTGGTCGGAGTTACCGGATGTTGAATTACACCTAATTTTCTGAATGATCAAGGTGCTTGCATCGTTACATCCCTAGCGGGTCCTTGCGTGTGTGTATTATTGAAGAGTCCCAAACTAGAACGAAGGAGATATCTATTAGCCAGGGGTTTTCAGTGGTTCTTTAACCAATATCACTCCGTACCATAACTTGAGATTATTACCATTATTCCTGTGGGTTTTGAGTGGAACATAAGACTTCAGCAACACACTCTACCACTTCGTCCCATTTTCTGCTGTTCTCTGCATCTGGGTCCACGATTGAACATGATCTCTTATCGCCTCCTCAAACAGTCTCCTCAATGTTGCCCTCTCACCAACTATGCACTCGTCACGTACCATCGAGATTCCACTTGAATGATGGTCTGCACTGAGTGGGATGTCATTCGATAGCCTCCTCAGCGTATGCCCGATCCATCTCCTTTTTCTCCTACATATATGTTGAGCAGTCGGCTCTCGCCTGTTGACATGTTCCCAGACAGAGTTTCTTGTCACTAATTCTTTCTCATTGACCATTTGGTCTTCATTGTGGAGCTAGTGAAGCTAGCTGTTGTTGTAAGCCTGTATTTTGTTGGAAATCATTTTCTTGACACGTTGGCTAAGTTTCTGACCCGTAGAGAAGAACAACTGGCTGACTCCACAATTGTGTTGAAAATTCGTATCTTGTTCTTTATGCACAGTGAGTGTAGATGATTTTCAAACTGGTTTCATATTGATGAAGGCATATCTCGCCTTTCCGATCCCACTTGTCTGTCTCTGACACCTGCATCTGTGTTATCCGACTGCCTGCCAATGGTTGAAACCATGCTTTCCAGCCGGATAGGTGAAGGAAGTAACCTCTGTCAAATCTCTCCCGTTGATGATGGTGATTGGTGCTGGTTGTTGCCACTGTCGGTGTTGGTTGGGCGGTTATTTTCGTCACCTCCATGTTCACCTGGAGCTCTGTCTTCCTATACTGCTTCCTCTGCCTTTTTGTCTGTTTTCGCCTGTAAGTCTTCGAGTCTGTATGACATTAAACATAAATCATTCACACGCGAAATCCAAATCTTTTAGAGTCTTTTCATCAGTTTTCCAGCTTACTCCTGCCTCCTCGCTCCCTACAGTCTGACGCATAATCCAAGTCCACCACAATTAGGGATATCACCATTGATAACAAACAGCCCTGTCTTACTCCTGTTTCCTGTTGTGGATCACCTGACACGTGGCAAGCATTGTCATATAGGCAGCTATTGAAAGAGGTTGATAAAGACTCGGACACTGCACGTTGTAGGGTTGAAGTAGTTTCTTAATTATTTCTTGGTCAACGATGTCTATTGAAAACCTGTTTGAAGTCGATGAAGTTGAGGTGGAGGTTTGACTGCCATTCTATGCTTTGTTATGTGATAACGATACGTAGAGTTTCCGTTTGATCAGCACATGATTCAACTTTCTTGAATGAAGCTTGTTTTCCGTGGGGCGGGCGAAATTCTGCAACTAGTGCATCTTTTATTCTCTTCATTTCTCTAACTTGAAGTGTAGTATTATCATTATTTTTCACTTCGTTTTAGGATATTACTTACGATATATATATTTCTTATTGTCGATATCTGTCTATTGTTTTTTATATTTCAGACACTAAATGATCATACTGAGTGTATTACAGCCCTAAGATTTGATAATTATCATTTGGTGACATCATCGAAAGATAAATCCGTTAAAATCTGGTCTATTATCGGGGAGTTCACTGACTGCTTGGGAACACTAATGCATACTGGGTAAGTTAAACGATAATGATAGAAGGGGGTGATAATGACATTCCATTGTTTTGTTCGCATTCTGTAAACGTGTTATTTTTTCTGAAGTTTTACAACTGATCTACGCCTGCTATTTGTTATAGTGTAATGACGGTAATGAATATGACTGGTACCCTAGTATGCCTATTTTTCCGTTGTAGCTTCCGATTCACTGAGCCATAGCAAATATCATAAGACAAAACGTGGCTGGCGTGTGACTGTAAGATACTCTACTGTATATTGATTAGGAAAACGACACATGGTATTAATACATTTGAGTAGCTTAAAAACCCACATTGAGTCATATGAAAAAAAGAGAAGACGTTCAGAGGAAGGAGCCTCCTTCATATGGTGCATATAGTGGATTTTATGTGAACTTCTGATAAGAAGAAGATTGGTAATACTGGTTCTGGTTCTCATAGATGAAGACTGATTATAGAAGCCTACAGGTAGGAGTGAATCCCTAAATCTTGCATAGACATGACGAATGATGTTAGCTGATGGATGGCGAGTCTTGACTAATAAGTTTAGTAGATGTGTATCACTAATCAATCTATAATCCTGATTGTGTACATCTTCTAATAATACAACCCGTGTCATTACGTTTTGAAAAGAGAAGACGTTCAGTTTTAAGCCATGTGGGAAAGTGTAGACTGCCTGATTGGATTCCTTAGAATGCTAAGAACCAACGACGACATCATTTGTAATATTCATGGAAAATACCCATCCAGACATGAATATATTAGGAAAAACAAAGTTTAGCGTAGAGTATTTTTTTTGGCGGCGAATCCATTCACTTAGACGTATGATCGTATTTATGTATAATTATTTGTGTGTGTCTGTGTGTACATTAGGATTGTCAAACAAAATTAAATAAAAATTAGTTAGGATTACTGTTTACGTCATCAAAAAGTTTCAAAAATATCATGAATAATCAAATCCCGGTGGGTACGTACTGATGAAGAGTCCCAAACTAGGACGAAACAGCTGTCCAGTACTCCCAGGTTTTCCAATGGTTCTCTAACTAATGTCAGCTCATGATGAAATCCTGAAACCAATCAAATCCCTACAAACCATCACTTGAAAATTGTAATTATTAGGGGGAGGGTGGAGATCGGTAAGTATTGACAAGGGTTACGTAATATGAAATAGCTTGAAAATCCCCATTGAGTCATATGAAAGAGAAGACGTTCAGCGAAGAGACTCTTTTCGGCGAATTCACTCACATAGCATTTACATATAATTATTTGTGTGTGTGTGTGTGCATGAAGTTGTCAAGTTTAGATAATTGACCAGGTAATAAAGAATGATCTCATATAGAAACAAGGTTAAATAGACAAGAACTAAAGTAAGATTGAGTTAGTTAGTAAGTTAGATGACGTAATATAATTGACTAAAATGTTTCAACTTAAGTTGGGTAGCAACAGAGGTAATTACAGGTAGAGACTAAGTAGGAATGGGGTAGAGAATAATAACATTTAAATTAGAACTGAAATTGAGCAAATAAGTTGGATGACGTGACATAAATGAATGACTAGAAATTGAGCGTTGGTCAAGTCAGTAACAGTGGTAGTGAGGTGTAGAAATTAAATTGGGTGGGGAGGGGGAGAGAACAGGAAATTTGAAAATGTAAAATATTACAATTGAGAAGACAAAATAATACTAATGAAGAGACAGAAGAGAAAAGGATTAAGTAGAAGATAGATTACGTCTATTGCAATTGTAGTGATTGAATGAACTTCTTCTGTATGCAGACAGAGTTCAGGACTTAGTAAGTGAATCGCCATTGCTTCTGCAGTTTGAAGAAGTCTGATTCGTACACCTTTAGGATGACTACTTCGTATTCTGTAGACGACTTTGAAGTTTGTCTGGGGTGTTGCTTGGTGTCTGGATTTTATCGAATGTTGTAAGATGGAGCTGCGGGGTCATCGTTTTTCTCCATTGTAAAACCATGTTGGTAAGTGTTCGGTGATACGTTTGGAAAGCGAACACTGGGTATGGCCGAAACACCTGGCTCCACACGAACAGTTGAATTGATAAATACACATTGATGAGGCTGGCCAGCAGCGGTAGCTTATCCTTCACATTCACATGAATCATAGGTTTCGTGGAGAAAGTTAGTTGTAGTTCAGCTGGGAAGAAAGTCTTCTTAAGTGAGCACGACAGTCGATATTTTAAACATTTTTTAAAATACATTTTTTTACAATAATAAAGTCGACTCACAGCCGTGAGAAATTATTGATCACACAAGTCACAATATGCGTGAGACAGGAGGATATATACTATTTTATGTGGGATACCAAGCAGCGATTCAGTTAGGTTATTATGAACTATAGTAGTGAATAGTCTAGCCCAAAAAGTTTGGTAGACAGAATTCAGATGACGAAATATAGCCATTTATTCATGACTAAGTAAAGCAATGACTTGTTCAAGGCGAAAAAATATTTCAATATAGCAAAAATATTCATTCAGACATCTATAAAACACAAAATAATTGAGTGAGGCATATTCTTTCCGATAAATTCCTCCTCCGGCTCTACGTCGGTGGCACAGTGGTTAGTACTCTCGCCGACCATGGACATGGTCCGAGGTTCGAGCCCACGCCGACGCACACCTGATATCTATGGTTGGCCTGCGAATTTGGGCTACCGTTATCCACGCTGAAAATTCCAAACCTGTACCGAAAATACGGTGTGGAGTCAAGCTGTAATCAAAAATAAAAAAAATTATATATGCATGTTTATATACATAGAATATTCTACATTAGTAGTCAATAACAGTATTAGTGTTTTTTTTTAAATAATATCGATTTGTTAAGTATGATCAATGGAGTTATAGTTCATTAAAGATGCTTAAATAATAATAATAATAATAAAGATATAATAGCGAATAGAACATCAACTAAAGTTGGGGAAATTCCACAAAAATTCAGGATAATTCAAACCTGGATGGCCAAGGTAATGATACTGTCTGAACTAACTTCTCTTAGATGCATAAATTAAGCTTGTTAATGTGGATCCCACAGCCTCAGCAATATTTAGTAGTCGGAATCTTAAGGCAAAACTGAGATTCGTAGGTATGCGGTAAATGAATGGCCCTGAAAGCATGTTTAACGTCAATCTTGTGTTCTGTATCCGCAAGATGAGATAGAATAGCGCTGCGAATAGATTTTGTTTGTCCTTTGCTTAACCACTATGCAGAGTGATGTTCGGAAATTCGACAAGAAACACGCCTAATTGTACGGCCTATGTAACTGGCTCCACAGGAGCAGTAAATTGGTAGATACACATGATGAGGCGAAAGTAGGCAGTTTATTTTTTACTCCTGAACACAGAAGAGGAGTGGTTTTAAAGATACAACGTAATTCGGCAGCAGGGGACGCTCTTTTCACCACCGCATTTTTAATGCGCTGTGTTAGTATCCCGCTGGTGTTGTCCCCAAGGAACTGCACATCTGTGAGAAAAAGGCCTTTTTTGGAACTGTTGGTAATTCGGGCTGCTTTGATTTTAGATTCATATTCTTATCAATAAACTTTTCAGGATAACCATTCTCACTTAGCAACCGTTTAATATTTTATTCAGTTCTTCATCAAGACATTCGTCTGAGCAAATTGTTCTTGCTCTGTGAACCAGGCACTTTATCAGATTGCGTTTGTATTTCAAGGGCATGAAGGTGAGAAAATGTGTGTGTACTGACCCGTTGATGTAGGTTTCCTATATAAACACTTCTTCTTATTATGCCATCCTCTTTTCTGGTCTTACTCTGAGAGTTTCATCCTTAAATAGCCTTTTGTCGGACATAAGCCAGTGTGGTTCAAGCCAAATGGTCTTCTTCTTTCACTTTCAGGTATAAACTTGATCTACATGAACTTGCTGTTTCACGAGATGCCCGTGGCATTGTGGGTACTCAAACAGAGACTAATTCAAGTATAAAATACCTTGGGGGGGTGGTTTATTTACCTCACTTTTCTCGGTCGTCGCATATCTTGTTGATTTATAAGAAATTAAGAGAATCAGGTACTACTCGATCTCCTTCTTTTTTTTTTCACCGTTTTTTGACTCTTGCATCTTGCCTGTTGTTGTTTATTCCCCCCTTTTAGTCTCTTCTGGGTTACTCATACAGTACCCGGTCATATTTCGAAGGGTATTCAAAGTTTTCAGTAGGCTAAATAAACGGTGTGCCACTTAGTTAGCTCGTTACTACACTAGTTGATAGACACTTGAACAACTCATGAGAGAAATGGTCTAAATCCATGTTGTCTGACTCTTAGCACCCTCTTTATTTGCAATTTTCCTCTTTCTGCATCTCATCAAGTAGGACTAGAAGTCGTTATATGAAAGACTGTGTGCTCACACAACCAAGTACTAAAACTCAACGATACCCTATTTGGGCCACCTACGTTCTATGTGCGATAAAGGTAGTGTTAAGCATGACACTTACAAATTACTATATATTTAGCACAATAAATGGTTGGTTCTCTGACCTTCTCTTATTTATTATTATTATTTTACACTTTTTGTATATTTTTGACCTCACTGTCACTGCTAATACCAAAAGTTGCTGTTATCAATTTTGGTTACTTATACCCTGTAATATGCTTTTTCTGCTTTTGTTATTGCTGTGTAAATAACATGCAATATTGTACGAAATGCTGAGAATTCCATGCTGCAACCAGCATACGTATTGTGCGTCGGTGGCACAGCGGTCAGGACTCTCGGCGATCATGCACATGGTCTGGAGTTCAATCCTCTGCTGACGCACACCTGATATCTATGGTCGACCTGCAAAATTTGGGCTACCGATATCACATGCTGAAAATTCCAAACCTGTACTGAAAATACGGTGTGGAATCAAGCTGTAATAAAAAAAATAGATAAAGCAAATTATTATTATCATTATTATTACAACCGTATTTCTACCACATGAAAAGTGATTCATTGGTAGTAAAAGCTGCCCCTTCACAATGCATTTGATGACAACAA